ATAAGAGGCGACGTACCAAAAGGTAATGAAGCTCTCTTGTAAAGAGAAGCTCTCTTCTCTTACCAAGAGTGACATGGAGGAAGTTCTCTTCTTGTTTTGAAGCATGAAGTAGAGGATTTATCTTCTCGTGTTTGAAGGGGGGGCAGACCAGGACCGGACTTTTCGATTTTGAAGGTCTGGGGATACATTTGTGTCTCAGGTAGACAATGACTCATGCAAGAAGTCAACAAGGACATCGCGAATCTATAGCGGTCACTACAATTATCGCAAATCGATATACTGATATACGTTTCTATATGAAATAGCATCGAGGTGTCACTCATGTCTCAGGTACACCATACATAATAACCGGCACCCGATGGTGTTTCTTGCAGCCTGAGGGTTCTCGGTGCTCGACTACTTCAATAAGTTCTTGGTTTCATGTAACGCAGAACAAAAATGATGTAGTACAAATAAGTTTAGAACTAACTTCGATTTATAAGTTATGAATTGTTCAATATCGTGTTATCCTTCATATCCATAAAATTTTTGCTACTATTTATAGACAAGCTTGTATTGAATATAGTATTTGTATCTGCCATTATATATGCAAATATGTCTGCTGAGCCAAATGAAACCTGAAGGATGCAGCCTCATATATGTGTATACATATAAATATACATACATACATACATACATACATACGGCCGTAGATAAGCTCCGCGAAAGCTCCGTAGCCGCGAAAGGAAAACACTTTTACGATCTTTCACGCGAAAGTTCTGACATTTGGCCGTTCCCACATACGTGTTGTTTGGAACAACCACCAAATCCAAAACTTGCCAAACCCCGAACCTTAAACCCTCAAGAACGGGATAAGAACAGATTGTGTGAATTTCGTTTCAAGCTGCGTTTTCATTAGTTTCGAACTGTCATTAAATGTGCGCAAAGAGACGCCGGCCAACCCAGCCCAGCCCAGCCAGCCCCGCCAGTCCCAGCCCAGCCAGTCCACTAGCCCACTAGCCCGCCCAGCAGCCAGCATCATCCAGCCCCAGCCCAAAAAACGAAATGATGCGAAATGCAAAAGCAAGAGGCAAAACCTCTCAAAACCCGGCAAAACTCCGGACCCAAACTTCCATTGATCCAAGGACAATCCAGCGGGATATGTGTGCCTAAAACGAAAACCCTAGGGAGCGAATCCAGCGAGAATCTTGTGCCCAACACGAAACCTGAGGAGTGAATCAAGTAGAAACCTTTTGCAGCCTTAAAGACCTGAACCTTGAGTCCTACACCCTTGAACCCTAAACCCTACATCCCAAACCCCTAAACCTCAACCCCCAACATCTAAATCCAAAAACTCGCAAATCCTCTACGACCTGATCAGGCGCAACGGGGGTGAGGCGTGCGGGTTCTGTACCTTGTGGCGGGGTTCCGGGGTGCGATACGGAACTTCGTCATCATGCACACGAGGGCAGCGGGCGGTAAATGCAAGGGCAATGACGAGGATGCATCCAAAGTGGCGGTGAACGTGCGTGAGACCAGTGACGAGGAGCTCGGCGAGGGGCGTGGCCCCAAGAGTCGGCGAGGTCCAGAGGGCAGCCCGAGGTTACCCTTGAAGCTTTGCTGGAGGCTCAGACTCCGACCTTGATGCGGGATTTCGCAGCAACATTTAGAACTGCCCTAAGCAGGCTCGAGTCCACCATGGAACTCAAGATCGCAGGGTTGATCCGAGCAGGCCGATGAACGCATTGCCAAGCTCGAAGGGCAACTGGCCGAAATGCTGTCGCGACAGTGACCTCTCCCTAGAAGTTCGGGCAGCAAAGATTCCGGGGACCGACGGCTTCGAACCTTGATCTTCGGGGGGCTGGCTACGCGAAACAAGAAGACAGACCATTTTGGAGCAGTTGAAGGATGGCCTCAGCTCCCTTGGCGTGGCTGAATTGCTTGGCTCACAGGGGCTCGGACCCGGAGAAGCATGGATTTGGCGAATTTCCGTGAGGGCTCAGGTGACTCCGCCATGCGAGGCCGCATGCCAAGCTTCTGAGGGCCCATGCAGAAGGTTGAGGCACAGACAAAGGACGGTCGGAGAATGTGGGCTTCATCAAGCCAGCGCTGGAAAGAGCACACGGCTCTCATGCATCCTGGGTGAAGGGATCGACGGCCCTGCTGGACGATGATTAGCCCTCTGGATGTGGAGTGGGCGACCGGCACAGACTCGCTCATCGCAAGCTCGCAGAAGCCGGTACCACCGGGCACGGACATGCACAGGGTGGTCATCAAGGAGGACGTGGAACCAGAAGCCAGGGTGGATTGTGGCAAAGCGGGATATGAGCTCAAGGTAGCCGAGGCAGCTATTTGGGATGCATTCCAAAGCACGGAGGCGGAATTCAGACACTTTTTTGAACAAAACTTTTTTTGGCTCGAGGGCCGTTCAAGATGGAACAATTGGAAAGGGAAGTGGGAATCTGGTGTGGCACTGCTCACTTTAGCCCGGGAATTACGGCATCAGCTTATGAGGAGCAAGGGGAGGACGGCTCGACAGAATGCACACAGGGTGATCTTCCAGGAAGATCTCAACACAACCTTCTCTTGGGTGCAGGACGGGACCCTCGTTACACCGGTTCCAGGGAGGGTAAAGGTGCTTTTGTCCAGAAAGTCATACAGGAAACATGACTGGGGTTGGTTGCGCCAGGGAGCACACAGCTCAATACTCCTACTACGCGGCCGAGGCAAGCAGGAAGACACGGACACATGATGGACATGCTTGCTTTTAAGAACTTCAGAGGGTTTTCAGCGTCGGATACACGTTAACTCGCACCTTACGCTGGGCACGGACCATGAGCTGGTCGAGGGTTGCTTTGGCTTGCATGCCAGAAGGGTCACACGAGACACGACGCCAGAGCGAGGAAGTGGGTCGGAGGGGTTACACCAAGTGGACAAATTTGGGTCAGGACATCATTGAACACCTTGCGCGACAGCACACCTGTGCCAAGAAGGGGATTGGCAAGCGTTCCGTGAGCTGAAGCCCAGGCGACGTGAGGGTCGGGAATCAGCAAGGGGATCCGCGTGCAGCAGTTCAACGAGCGAGTTCGGATGTCAGACCCTTTAGCTCCGGAAAGCTTTGTCCAGCCTTAAGCAAAGCAAAGCAGTTGGCATTGATCTTACCAGTGCCGAGCTGCTTCTTGCGGTCGCGGAAGTGCCAGGAGGGTTCTCTCACGTGCTAGAATGGTACAGGGTGCTGACGACTCAGGTGGTCCCTGGGCAGTGGAAACCGACCCGTCTTGGTGTTGTTGCCGAAGCTCAACCTTGGGACTTGAGGCCAATCGCCTCAGGCTCGGCAGGCAGCAGGTCGTCTTCAAGACGTTGTTGGCACATGCAGATTGCCAGGGTGTCGCTCCCGCCTCGCCGGCATAATGTGCCGCTCCACATCGCCAAACCGTTTGGAGGTTGATGGAGCTCTCGCGGGAAGCGGGCACAAGTTGGACCTGCGCAAGGCCTTTGACCTTTGACTGCCTAGACAGGAACAAACTCCTGCAGAAACTCCGGCCTTTAGTGAGCTTCGAGGCGGAGTATGTTTGCTGGCAGGGCCTGCTGGCCAACGTTGAAGGGATCCTGCAGACGCCTTGGGGATGTAGTTTGTTGCGGATGGCAAGGGGGATCAAGCACGGGGCGCCGGAGTCACCTGCGTTGTTTGCAGAGGCGGAGTCGGAGTTCAGTTGGGCTCTCTTTCTCATCTATATGACTATATGGATGATGGCACGTTATGGGCTCCCACGCTTGCTGTTTTACGATAAATTCAACAGCTTGGGATTGTGCTGCAGTGCGCTACGCCTCAACCTGGCCAAGTGCCAGTTGCACTGCAGCCCGACGTGTCCGGGGCCACACGCCATGGAATTGCAAGCGGCCAAGCTCGAAGCGGCAGAGTGTCTTGAAGTCATGGTGTTTAAACTTCGGGTTGGGATGATGGTGAATGAGCTGGTGCTCCTTTGGCAGCACGGGCCCGTGAGAAGTTCTGTTGACTCTGCTAGCTAGCTGATTCTGGTGCTCATGTGCAGTCATATGGGATCCTTGCAAACCCGTGTCTTTCGCAGGCCTTCAAGCCGACATAGGCATAGTCATAGGAGCTGAAGGTTTGGCCTTAGGTTGACATCACAGCTAGATCCGAGACTCCGTGTCGAGTGCACGACAATAAGATATCGTTGTGGCACACAGGGTCAGGGGACTTCTACATCCTTATTCGGTATCCAACTGCTATTTCCAGGATTACAGAACCCTATCATGGTGCCGGCTTGAGCAGCAGCTGCACTTTCCCCGAGTCACCAACCTTGAGAGACTCATGGACACGGTGTGCGGAAGGCCTTGGAGGGAGCAAGCACACAACAGAGGGCGTCAGAGAGAGTTGGAGGGCAATTGGATACAAGAACAAGACATCCCGCGGGCATCAGGTCGTCAGTTCAGCATCCGAGAGCAACAGGGCGAGAGAGTTTTTATTTCTTTTTTGAGTTGAAGGTCGTGTTGGAGGGTCACTAATTACTGAGTTTGTACAGTGGGGCCAGGCTGACTGAGAATGAAGGCTATCCGCCTGATGTCAAGGGAGCTGCTAGTCTTCTAGACGTGCTCCCATTCGCCATGTTCTTGCCGTGACCTTTGCAGCGCTGTTAGCGCTGGTCCTGGGCGCTCCCCAAGAGAATGCCGGGATCCATACCACGACACCTTCTGGTGAAGGGCTCCAACGAGTGTTACCACGAGTGCCTCCGTGACGGCGGGTACCTTGCCTTCGGGCATTTTGCCCGCAGCTTCTGCCGATGATTTTGCTAGCATAGCTGCAGTAGATCCACGACATGTCGCCCTGGATGTGTCGGGTGATGCACTTGCTGTACTGGACGATTCGCCGCGTGATGACGTGCCACTCCGGTTGCCCGAACATTGCAGGCTGGAAGTTCTGAAGGGTTGCCACCTCCACATCTTTAACCCAGCCCATCTCAGCTGAACTCAGTGGGGCACAAAATTCATGAATGATGTTTGGTCCGAATTCAGCCCGCTGCCACCTCAAGTAGACTCTGGCAAACTCTTCGTACCTCGCATCTCCAAGCCGTACCACCAACCCAGCGATGTGTGCCCACAGATTCTCCCAGTCACGGTTGGCCATAGCCGACCGAGACCACGTTCACGCCTTGTTCTCTGCCAGGTGTTGCAGGCATTGCTGCTTCCACTGTTGATCCATGAGTCCTTCGGGCGCCGGCTGTGGGGGAAGGTCCCCATGTCCGTCCAACATCTGTCGGATGGCATAATAGGCAGGAAGCGGTGTCATCAAAGAGGGCTTGCGGAGCTTCATTCGCCTCTTCCATCTCCGCTGAATAACTGCTGGTGGGATATCGCTGCTGCTAGCGGCGTTGGCGTCTCGGGTCGCGCGGTACTCCCTGTCCCGAAACATGTCGTCGAGATTTGGGATACATGAACGAAGAACCGCCATGTTAGATGCGCCGGCGAGTGCGCTCTAGCCCTGCCCGGGGGTGGGGGTTGCACGCGCTTGAGAAGCAATCTCCGGGACGCAGGTTTTCTGAATTGAGGATGTTGCGCTTGCATCAAACAAAAGGCAATAATTGGCAGGCTGACGTGAGGCTAGTTCACGACTTTGACTCGGACAAGACTCGCCATGCATGATTAGATTGTCCCCTCAATTGAACTTCAGAAGACCAGACATCGAGTTCCAAGCCGATCCAAGACAGCGTCAAGCATCCAGCGGAGTGTGACCGCGCCTTTTGGAGGACGCTTGGCCTGGCGTACTGCCATGGCACTGTCACCGATGAGGCATGTAGCCAACACAGTTCACAAGCGTTCTGAATTCGTCTCGCTGCATGTTGCTCAGGTGGCATCCGAGCTGCTGTTCCAGTTCGGTTTGCAAGCATTGGATTTGTCCTTCTGTTCGCAGCTCTCTGACGCTCCCTTTGAAGCAGGATGCTTATGTCTTGCTTCTGAATACGCACAACAAGCACGTTATGTACTGAGTACAGCGTACTCATTGTATTAGTCATAGGGCCGTAGCATGTGGGTCGTATCCATTGCTATAGCAGCGCCTGCTAAGCTAGCGGATCGAAGGACATGTGATGAGTCTGCTTCTGAATAATGAGGCCCATCCTCATTCTCTGCTGCGTGAGTTGCGACTGCAACAGCCTCAGCGGTCCATGCAAGCACAACAGCCGTCGTGCGCGTTCTCTGCCAGAGGTCAAGCACGAATGTGAGCGACCGGGGCCTCGAAAGCATTGCGAGACGCGCACCAAACCTGGAAGTTGTCGACGTTGGGCAACCTTGGCCCGTTTCCAGGTTTCTTCAAGCGAAACCCCGCCCTTCAGCCTAGATCATCAACGAAAGATGATGCAAGCAGTCAAGGAAGATGCAGGGTCGCAGATGTTGCTAAGTTGTCAGTGCAGTAGAACTAACTCAATTGGCAGGCATAGAATGCTGTAGAATCCAGGGTTACCAGACATGATTGCTGGCTGCCATCCGCCGAGTGGCAACAGCATGTTTGACAATGTTTGACATGCGTGTCGCTGCCCAAAGCCAGGTGGGCGATGAAGCTTACGGACTCGGGTATTCTGTCCCTCGTGACATTCTGCTCGAAGTTACAGGCATTATGCGTGCGGGCCCAAACTGTTGAATCTTGAGCCCTCAAGGCGTGTCCCGTGGTCGAAATCCAGGTTCGCAGCACTGAGATCACCGATGCAAGCTTCGAAGCGATCATGCAGTCAGAGGCCCAGATGAGTGGCATCGACGGTATGTATCCACGAAGAAATAGCTGGGATGTGGAAAAAATCCACATCTGGAAGCCGGACACAAATGCGTCTTGTCACTCGCGGAGACCGTCTTAGCACTTAGCAGCGCGGAAGTGAATTGAAGTGTGTATGCTTAGCGAGTCTAAGTATGCGTGGATGCAAAAAAATATGTATGCATGCATGTTTGTTTGTTTGTAGGTTGCAGGTAGGTTGCTAGGGGTAGGTGGATAGGAGGATCTGTGCGTGTAGGTGTTTGTGCATGTTTGTGCATACATAGGCATGAGTAGATGGCTAGGTGGATAAATGGTTATTAAGTTGTGCTTGACTGTTGTGACAACCATCCGTAAGAACAAAGTCTTGCACAAGGTGCGCAAAACCTTGAGGAATGTCGGTTCTTTTCTTGCGTTAAAGGCATGGTGGGCCGCACAGTGAAACCACAGCCTACATCAGCCTACTCCCTGCGTCTTGGCAGAGATCTCCAAACGGGAACTCCCCGACCGCTTACTCTGGTTATGCAGCACAGGACCCTGCAAAACACTGGCCCTGGTCAAGACAGGCAAATGCGACCATGCACCGACAGCGAAACAAAATCGCACACGCCACAATGGAAAATGCACCCCGGCCGCGACAGCAACACCAACGCGTTCCCGCCACAACAGGAAAATATCCTTTACCTTGGTTTGGTTGTTGTGTTGTGTTGTGTTTGCTTAGTGTGTGTTTGTGTTTGTTTGGGTGTGTGTGTGTGTGTGCGTGTGTTTGTGTCTGTCTGTCTGTCTCCGAGAAGCTGCTGGATCAGATATTCGCAGATTCCAATGTTGCTGTTGTGCCTCGAGCTTGAGGTGCCAACATCTCGAGCGCTGATGTCTTACCGACTCTGCTTACGGCAGGTGCGACAACTCACGCCCCGTTGATGCATTGATGCTGAAGGTCTGAATGCTTCATGGTGTTTGAGAGCGACAGCTCATGCGCTGGACATACTTGCAGACACCAACAGCGCCTTCAGCTCAAGTGTACAGGGGGGGGAGTACAAAGGCATCGCAAGAGCGGAAAGTGTGCGGAGATTGTGCTTCGGCGATGCCGTCAAGCGTGAGGTCACCCGGCCGCCTCTGAAGTCGATCGATCTGGATCATCTTGGCGCCATCGCGTTAGGCTGGGAATACGAGATGCTCTACATTGCTGTCTTGCTGTGCTCTACAAGCCCAGCCAACATGGATATCATGAATGCTATACTGCAGTCAGCGGTCACGGTATTATGTGACCAGACTGGAACGGGTCACTTTCGAACTCAGGATGCTCGTGTTTTCAGCACAGTCCTGTCCAGTCTTTAGATACAACCTTCACCTTTTCTGTGTTTTCGCCCAGATATCGGTCTTGATGCTGGTGCACCCCTTCCAGCACTTCCGATGATCGCGTCGACAGGGCAGTGGGTGCGGCCCTCATATCAAACTCTAACTTGAAGTTCTGTTCATCCTGTGTGGAACGGAGGAGTCGAGTGCATCGCTGTCTCCGCTGCCTCCTAACTGGTGCCGAACTCAATTGAACCTGTGCGACAAAGGTCGAACTCCTTTGTTCGAGCTATGTGCAATATGTTGCTGTTGATTGTTTGCATCGGAAAAGACAGCAACTTCACTGTCGTCTCCTCTTTTTTGTGCCCATCCTGTCCCTGGTACTGCTTGGAGCATCTTCTTTGGCACGAAAAGAGTAATGAAGGCGCAGTGCTCGCGCCCTTGCTTCACGATCAGAGTCGGCTTGTGGCTTTGGTCTGGAATTTCGGGCTGAGGCTTGAACTTCCGCCCCGAATCTTGTTCGTGATCATGTTTGCAAATGTTTGATTCCCGGTAAGTCGCAACAGCAGCCGTTCCTGCCGCGCTGTTGAAGTGCTTTTTCTCCATCATCTCTCCATCAGCATCTTTCAACCGGACAGCAGGACGGTGCTGAGGGTGGGCTTGCTTTGGCAAGCTGGCAACTTGTCCGAAAGGGAGCCTAAGGAGCAGTCTGACCGTGTATGAGACGCGGTGCAATCGCTAGCGTTTGCGTTGTGCCGAAGTTCGTCTCGGTTGGAGCTGTGCTGGTATCGTCATCATGTGCTGTTGGCTGTGAACGCTTTCCATTGTTTCGTTTCGGCTTCCGTTTCTGGTTGCTTTAAGGCGATAGCCGGAGGTGCTGCATTTCGGTTTCGCCAGGTAATCCAAGCAAGCGGCTTTGTAAGCCCTAATAGGAACTCTTGATCAATACCCCCCCTTCCCCCACGCAAGGTAGGTCAGCTGGTGG